AACCCATGTGAAAAATGCCAGGCATGGTGGCACATGTTTATAATGACAGTGCTGGGAAGGCAGAGACAGGTAGATCCCTAGGACCTTTGGACCAGCCAGACCAGCCTGGTGAGTTCTAGGCTAATAAAAGACCCTGTCTCAAAAATCAAGGTGGATAGGGCCCGAGCACCACAAGCATGTGCACAGCTCTCTCTCTCTCTCTCTCTCTCTCTCTCACACACACACACACACACACACATTCACACACACACACAGAGAGGAAGTGACAGAGCCAGAATCTAACCCAGTAGGGCACTCTCAAGCTACTATCTTAGCCAGCTCACAATACTGTCTCTCATGCAAAGACCCCTCTCAAAGGTCAGGAATTTACAGAACCTGCCTTGAGTCTCACTACCACCAGGAAGGCCTCAAACAGCAACCTTGGTCAGCTTAACTTCACTCTAGGGCTTTAAAAACCTACCCTGGCTGGGCGTGGTGGTGCATGCCTTTGATCCCAGCACTTGGGAGGCAGAGGCAGGAGAATCTCTGTGAGTTTGAGGCCAGCCTGGTCTACATAGCTGGAACTACCCTGGCAGGAAACAAGGACCACAGTAGAGTAGGCTTTGGAACTCTAAGGAAGGGTAGATGGGATATCTTTTTTTAAAAAAAATTATTTTTAGCCGGGCGTGGTGGCACATGCCTTCAATCCCAGCACTCGGGAGGCAGAGGCAGGCGGATCATTGTGAGTTCAAGGCCAGCCTGGTCTACATAGTGAGTTTGGGTCAGCTGGGACTACAGGGAGACCCTGTCTCAAAAAAAAAATTATTTTTATTTTATGAGTGTTATGCTTGGGGATGGAGTTCAGTAATAGAGTGCTTAACCTGGCATGTATGAGGCCCTGGGTTCCATATCTAGCACAAAATAACTAACTAAATAACTAAACAAAAAATAAAAATAAAAAAGAACCATTTCAAAAAACGGAATTTAATGTTGGGCATAGTGGCACTTGCCTGTAATACCAGCACTCTAGAGGTACGGGCAGGCGGATCTCTGTAAGCTAGAGGCCAGCCTGGTCTATACATTCCAGGCTAGCTATGGTCAGGGAGACCCTGACTCAAAACTAACGAACGAACGAATGAACTA